TCTTCAAGGTCAAGAATCGACGCCTCTAATGTCTCCTCATGCATTATATTTAAATCTATCATGTTATGATCAACATCATCCCAAACATCATCATCATCTATTTTATTTTCCTCCACACGCATCGTTGAAATACTATCCGAAGAACTCACTTTTTCCACGTCATCACCATAAATTTTCACTTCGTGACTCTGCAACGCTTCTTCTTCTTCTTCTTCTTCTTCTTCTTCAATTGGAGCTGCTAATGAAATTACTGATATTCGAGAAGTGGAAGATGCATTTTGAGGTGAAGCAACTTCTTCCTCCCTACTCTCAACATCCATACCTAAAAGATTTACAATTATAATAAAATCCATCAAAATTATAATTCGAACAAAAAAAAAAATCATTTTTTGAACAGGTTGTACTGAATTTGGCATGTAAATAGTAATACAAGATTAAAATTTACTTTACCTTGATGTGATGGGAAAATAAGTTGTGCCCTACATGAATCCTGACCTCTCTGCATGTGAAATTTCATAGTTTAAATTAATTTTAAACAACACAGAATAAAAGATAAAAATGAATCAAAGTATAGGAAAAAAGAAAAGCACCATGGTAGGAAATGTCCAGCCTTCTAATGGAGTCCAGTTTAATGATGGGCGTAAATCCTTACAAAATGCATTATAAATCCCCCCTTGTCCAGCTGGAGGCATTGGCAACTCAATCTACACGCATAATAATTTACAAATTTATAACAATAAATAATAATTTATGAGATGAAAGTAATGAACTGATAATAAAAATGATAAAATTTCATTACCTGAACCTCATCATCACTTAATGTTTTGATGATCCTTGCTGACCAATAACAATCATCTTTACACCAATCTATCAAATCCCCAACTTTCCATTCACCATCAATCACAACACATACTTCTGTAATGGAATTGACAGGTGGCGTTTCATTTTTGAGATACATTTTAGGATATGGAGGTCGCACCATTAATTGTTTCTTTATCTGCTTTGACTTCCTTCCATAATGAGGTAATTCGTATATCTTTGTCCATTCAATAGCTGCAAATTGATTGAAAGTGATGATTTTTAGAACAGATGAAAGATTGTGATTAGTGATTTATAGATATCAGGTTAGTCAACTCACCTTCCTCTGGAAAGTCGAAGTACTCGGGTAAAATCTGGTTCTTTTTCAAGTTTATATCCTTGATCTGATTGGAATTTTAGAGTTTAGATTTGGAAATCTAAATTATTACCATATTTGCTGGAAAATGGATATTATCACGTCCACATACCTTGCATCTAAACCAAGCACCTCGGAATCCTTCATCAAATGTTTTGGATTCAGCAAGTTGGCCAACTTCAAACTTCAGATCATCAGGCTTCTCCATTGTGCTGTAAAATTTTTAGTCAAAATTGGAAGAATGCAGAAATGTACACAAATTATCTCTTGTTCATGTATTTACAAGAGAGATAGAGTTTTAATACATCATAAAACCCTAAAACGGAACACAAACAAGGGTCGATCTACTACAATCCCCAACTGATGGTTACTTGGAATACCTAATCTTCAAAATAAACTGTTTGCTTGTGCTTTTTCGTGGAACTGTGTGTTTTCCAAGCCAATGGAGATGGCGATAACAAGCAAATGATTAAAAACAAGTTAAAGGTGATTTTACTCACCTTCGTGATTAGGCTGAGTAAAATGAGACAAATCTAACTGGGTAGAGATATCGCCCGGAGTAACAGCGAAAGCAGAGACTATCACGAACAATATGAACAGAAGCAACCACAAACAGTAGCGCCGACGACTATGGTGAGAACCTTGTCGTCAGACTTCAATGGACTGAGAGAATTTAGGGATAGGCTTGGGGAGTTTATAGGGGTTTATGGGAAACTTTTTAAGGTTAAAACTCATTTTTGTAAAAGTTAATTTTTATTTTAAAAAATCTCAAAAAGAATAGTATTTTATGACTTTAGAAACATTATTTTTTCTTTCTATATAAAAAGTCATAAAAGATCATTTTTAATAATTAAAAATACTTTGGATTTTTTTTTTTAACTTTTTAGAAAAGTTTTTCTTTCTTTTGGGTAGCCATGTCTTTAGTAACGTAGTTGTGCTTGGTATTTTTTCGTGTTTTCTTTCGTGTGTTTGGTGTTATAAATTTGGGTGGGGTGAATTTTATGGCATTTTTTTCGTATTTTCTTTCGTGTGTTTGGTGTTATAAATTTGGGTGGGGGGTGAATTTTATGTTGTCGTGTGTCTTTTTCTCTCTTTCGATATGTTTCTTTTCGCAGGGCCTCACATCTAGATACTTCTTGGTTTATGTTGCATAAATCCCATTAATATCCGAATATGCCCACTTGGAGAATCTTCTTGAAGACGGTCTCGAATATGTCCCAAAGATTGGATGCCTCTTATTTTCCCATACGAGTACGAAGTAGCTTAGAGCTTATTGCTGATTGGGGTTCCTTTCATGGCGGCTCTAGACCTATGGACTGAAGCACTGATATTTTGCCCGTTGCGCCCTATTGGTGTTGCCTCATTCAAAGGTTGAAGATACCTCAGACATAGTAGTTCCCATTTTGTGAATTCCAGTTAGTCATGAGTTTTGGTTCACAACACAAATCTCTAGTTCATCATTAGTTTATCTAGTTTAGGTCATTGCAAATTTCCATTATAATTCAATGTTCTGTATGTACTGTTTTATCCAGCTTCCTGCTGGCTTTCTTTAATGTAGTTTTCATCTTTGTCGTTCAAAAAAAAACTTTTTAGAAAAGTTAAAAGTCAAAAATTATTTTAAAAGCAATCTCAAACACCCTCAAAAGTTATTTTAAAAGCAATTCCAAACACCCTCATAGATATGAGGGTGTTTGGGATTGCTTTTAAACTAACTTTTAACTTTTAACTTTTCCAAAAAGTTAAAAAGATAGGTATTGAAAAAGATCTTTTAATATTGTATTGGTTTACTATTGTATTTTTATATATATATATATATATATATATATATATATATATATATATATATATATATATATATATATATATATATATATATATATATATATATATATATATCAAAGACTACTCTTTGGAATAGTGAACATCCAACATTTTGGCAAAATTGATCCTTTTATATTAACTTTGTTATATTCTGCTTATGTTGCTATTCCTTTCTTTTTTGGGAAATTTATGTCAATTTGTTCATTCTTTGTGGATACGTGTTCTTCATGTATTATCTCCACCGTTTTTCCGCCCAATCACTTTGTGATTGCTATTATTAGTGGTAAGTGTTTTGCTTCCCTTTCTTCTCATCCAGATATACCCACAAAGACATCTTTTCGTACCATACGACCTCTTTCACATTTGTGCTTACCGTCTTCACCACTCATGTTTCGCCAAACCATTCTTTTATCAATTCCCCTTTCCGGATTCCGATCAAACGAAGAGGTCGACACCGACGGCTCGACACACTCTGCTAACGACACCCACCTGCATCGCCGATCTCTGCCAGCTTAAACCACCGTCATCCCGTCGTCGTTGCCTTCAGGCGAAGTACCAAATCTCTCATTCAATATCTTCCCCTTCTCGATTGTTTTGATTTTAACGCAACAGATATCCACCGCCTTAACATAGGTATGCATTTGAAACACCCCTATCATCTCTCTCTTAATATTTATTTTGTAACGTTCTGCGTCTGTTGTGTGACCTCCGTTAATCTTCTGACGCCTTCTCTTTACTAGCAGCACCTGATGTTACGGCTAACAAGCACCCGTAACATTCATTGGACATCTTCAGCAATCAGCGACGGCTTCACAATTTTGAGGTTTTGGATGCCGGTTAGACAATGATGGCGGTTCTACCGGATGATGTTAGTCTAACAATCTGTTAACGATGATGATCCACACACATATTTGAGGTTATTTGAAACTCGTTAGCTCCATCAAGATATTTCCGCCATTATCAGTAAACACCATTACTAATCGATCGACATAGATATCTCCACCGTCGTCAAAACGAGCACCACTATCGATCGATCAATATATGGACCAACATAAGTGATGAGTAAAATTTGGCGGATCAGGCTTCCTCTGCGTTATCTGTCGCTTTTTGGTTTGTTTCGTTATAACTTCTGTAACATTTTACCCTCCACTTAAAATCATATAAAAAATCATTTTGAAAAACACATACATATCATGTATGTGTTGATTACTCTTTGAATTTGTTTCGCAATATAACTCATACCAATGATACTACCTACTATAGTTACTACAAAATTCATGTTTATGTGTATTGGTTGCATTACAGAAAATTGAAGATAATCATAAAGAACACTAGGTGTTTGATAAAATGCCTGAAAAAGAAAAGATTTTTTTGAGGGAAAATGGGGTATGGAGGTTCCAAATCAACTTCATCTGACGACTTTACAAATAGCAGTGGTTCCAAATGGAGGGAAGAAAAGAATGTAGTAGCCTTGTTGTTGCTACCGAGTGTGTCACAGACTAAAGAAAATAGATTTAGAGCAAGACTTGAAAGGTATTTTCCAAATCTAATGTAACACCTCGTTTATTTATTTAATAAATAAATAAATTAATGAACGGATAGTAGCCCTAAAATAAATAATTACGTGTAAAAGGGTGGTCTCCCATAGCTAATTATCATAATATGGAAATTGAGGGTTAAAAGTGTAGTTCCGGACTGATTTTGTAAGTAGTTATGAAGGTGGGGACTAAACGGTAAATTCTGAACCTTAATTGAAAAGAATTTGTCAAGAAAAGGGTTGTTTTGTAAATCTCGAACTTAATTAGTAAAGATTTATAGGGACAGGGTTTAAAAGGTAAATATGGGATTTACTCTGTAATAATTTATGGGAATAGGGGCTAAAGGGGTAAATGTCGGACTTGAGTTGAAGAAGATTCTATGGGGAGGGGCCAATTGTGTTATTATGGCAAAAAATTTAAGAGGTATCTGGTATTTAAGGCATATGAAACCCTACACCTAGAAGACTATGCCGCCGCCTTATACCTCCCAACTCCGGTACCACCTCCTTCTCATTCTCCCCAGCCGCCGCCCGATGTCTCTCTCGTTTTACGACCAGATGGAGTCCCGAACGCCGCCGCCTGCTGTCTCACCATCGAGATGCCATCATGGCTTGGCTGTCAGCGAAGACACATCTCACTACTATTTCATTGCCGTCTCCTCGCCACCACTGAAGAATCACCAGAGCAGCCATCATCCTGGTTCCGTCGTCGGCGAAGATGAAGGGTCACGAGGTGATCATAAATCGCTATTCGTGGGTGTTGTTGATGTTCATGGTTAGGTCACACGCATCCTCTTCTCATTCTTCTGTTGCTCTGTTTCAGCCCGAGTCCGCCACCATCACGCTGTTGCTGCCTCGGACCATCGCATGTCGCCGAGATGGCGGTTGCGGTGGCGTTTCCTTATTTTTGTATGAGCTACTGTTTAAGAATCGTTCATGTCAGGGGTTGTGAGTGTCATCCCGTGAGTTTAGTGTGTGCTGTGTGGTTTGGTTTGCCCGGAATATCGAGGAAGGGCCACCACCACTACCATGAGGTGGCGGCTGCCACCATCTACCACCACCAGCCACCATAAGGTGGTTGTGTGTGTTTATTTTGAGTTTTAGCATTGTAAAGTGTAAAATTACAATTTGGATAATGAAAAGAAAACTGAAAACCACCACTATAGGGTGGTGGCTGTCGCCATTGGCCGCCTTGTCGGGTGGTGGTGTGCTTTGCCTTGTTGTGTTGATTCGTTTGGGGTGCTTGAAACCCTAATGGGCCCATATGATGGACTTAATGGATTAAGTCCTTAGTTAAGTAATAAACACTTAACCCTAAATATCATTTCATGTGAAACCCTAATTTCACTTGGGTTTATTGTTCAGCCTTTCTATTGGGTCTTGATGATTAGGTTATTAATAGGTCATCCAAGGTCAAGCAATTGGACTAGAATAATTAATGGGCTATGAGGTAAGGCCCATATGAAGAGTTTGGCCCAATTTGGAAAATTGGGCCATTGATGGACCATAGTTTGGGCCTTAATGACTATATGATGTTGGGCCTTAGAATAGGACCATGTAAAGGCTTGGGCCCAATTTGGAAAATTGGGCCATATGTTTGGCTTTGATTTCTAGTTGACCTTGGACTTATGGATTGGGCCTTGGGCTTGAATAAAGCCAACCTTGGGGGTAATTTAGTAATTATCTAAGTATGTATTTATGGTTATGTGTTGGGACCCAATTATTAATTGGGTGTTATTTTGGTGTTAACAGTTCAGGAATCTATCATCCAGAAGCTGGGGTTGAGTCTGCGGAACTTCAGCAGTGTGGGGTTGAGTCTGCAGGACTTCAATAGTGTGAGGTGAGTTACCTTCCAGTAGGGATGGGTCGAAGGCCACAATGTCGGCCCACCAACAGGAGATGTTGATAGATGATTGTCTTTGTGATAATTATCTAGGTTTGCTACTACCCGATATGTTTGTATGCTAGCATTATATGTTATATGTGATAGTGGTAGTAGGAGGGGAATAGTCCCCAAGTTCGGTTGTTAGGACCGAAGGGTAGGTCGAGCACCCCAGATATGCCTGACAACATGATTATGTTATGATATGTGTAGTAGTAGTAGTAGGGGGTGAAATAGTCCCCAAGTACGGTTGTTAGGATCGAAGGGTAGGTCGGGCACCCTAGATATGCCTGACAATATGATTATGTTATGATATGTGTGGTAGTAGCAGTAGGGGTGAAATAGTCCTCAGAGTTCGGTTGTTAGGACCGTCAGGTAGGTCAGCACCCTAGAATGGCTTGATACGGGTAGGTCAGGACCACAAAATGGCTTGACATGGGTATGTTAGCACCCCAGAATGGCTTGACATGGGTAGGTCGGCACCCAGAATGGCCGGACCGGGTAGGTCGGGCACCTCAAAATTGCCCTGCAGTATGTATGTTATGTGATTGTATGGTATGTGGTATGATGGGGGAACTCACTAAGCTTCGTGCTTACAATTTACAGTTTTTGTTTCAGGTGCTTTGTTTTCAAAGGAAAGGAGTCGGCTCGATCGCATCGCATCACACTATGTTTTCCGCACATGAGATCTTGGGGATCATACTATGATATTATTCTATGATAACATGCTTTGATTATTGACACTTTGGTTTCGACATGGGACGTTATTATTGATGGTTTTATTACATATGGTTTGATAATAACTTATTTAAAAATGAAATTTTTGGCCTTGAATTTTAGGATGTTACATCTAAGTTTAAATTCATAAAAAGAAAAGTAAATAGATACATGCTTATTGCTTTTGAGTTGAATACATGAAATAAGTTTGGAAATTAGTAAATTCATGTTAAAAGTTATTAGAATAATAAATAATGCCTTATATACAAGTTAGAGTCATAAGAGAATATGTAGCTTGCAATTTGATAGTGGAAGATTTTAACAACTTTGGCTTTTCTGTCTTTGTCTAACAGGGAACCAAAAATTGAAGTTACTTTGTTTAGTCTCAATACAAAATGGAATTGAGTTGGAACTTATTAAATACCATTAATTAGGAGCAAATATAGATATAATGAATATAGTAGACACATTAAGTTTAAGTTGTCGCCCAAGTTCTACTAATTTTCAACTTCTATTAATTGAATTGATGTATTTTCTGAAATTTATAGAAATTGCATGCCTTTTTACTTTTTAGTTACTTTATGAGGCAGTCACTAAAGCATTATTGGATAGAATATCCAAAGAGAAGTGCATCTTCAACACCGTTTTGAGCCTTACTGACTCAACATCTCACACTTCAAGTCCAATCAGGTAATGACAACGACCATAATTGATATATTTTTTAGACTTTAATGCATTGACAAAAAATTTAGTTTGTATAGATTTAGAAAATTTCAGATTCCTTAACGCTTTTCTTGATATAAAAAATTTATTTTTGTTGGTCTATTTTTATAAATATTGGGGGTTCCATTTGGAGGCAAAACATTGACATTGGATGTTAATCATAATAATATGAAGAGGCGAGTTGTGGAAAAAGACTGACTGTGCAGCTTAACAGGTAAATTAAAAAAAATTATTTATTAATCATCATTGTGTTATAAATGAGATTTCATGCTTACTCTTATAGATTTTAGATAAAAAATAATTGTTAGATTGGCAGACTTCTAACACAGCTACAGCTTGCCCTTTTGATCAGAGATAAAATTAATATTCAAAAGTTTAGGGATGAGCGTTGGAACCACTGGAACCGGAACCGGTTATGATTTATTATAGCGGTCGGTTAGCGGTTCTTTAGTTTTTACAAAACCGGTTCGGTTCCACAAAAAACCGGTTAAAAAAACGAAACCGGTCCGAAAGTTTAAAAGACAAAAAAAGCATTTCAAATCTTTTTTTAAAAGCATTCGAGTTGCTGAAAACTGCCTACGAGTTATGGGAAGCTTTTGTGGAATTTGGCATCAAAGGTATTACTTTTTTTTAGCACATTTTATTATTGTGTCCCGGTTTTTAAAATAGTATAACTCACTCATATGAAGTTATAATCACTTGTTTTTTTTTTCAACATGTAGCTTACTGTTTATACTTCAGTTTAGACTTTTAAAATTTATATTTTGATTAAATATTGAATTAGATACAAGCCTTGAAAGATAACATATCAATGCAACATTTTTTTCTGTTTCAACACATTTTATTATTGTGTTCCGGTTTTTAAAATATCATAACTCACTCATATAAAGTCAGAATCACTTGATTTTTTTTTCAACATGTAGATTACTGTTTATACTTCAGTTTAGAATTTTAAAAATCATATTTTGGTTAAATATTGAATTAGATACAAGCCTTGAAGGACAACATATCAATGCATCATTTTTTCTGTTTTAGCACATTTTATTATTGTGTCCCGGTTTTTAAAATAGCATAACTCACTCATATAAAGTCGGAATCACTTGATTTTTTTTTCAACATGTAGCTTACTGTTTATACTTCAGTTTAGACTTTTAAAAACCATATTTTGGTTAAATATTGAATTAGATACGAGACTTGAAAGACAACATATCAATGCAACATTTTTTTCATTTATTTATATATGAAAGTTTAATTGGTTTTTATTTTTGAAATTTGATATAAAAATCGTATGAGAAGGATCTACAAAGAGTACTGGATCGTTTGGACTTCGAGGCGATAAAAGAGATGGTGGATTTCTTTGAAAAGTTTAAGACGAAAACGGAGAACGTTTCGGCTTCAACAAAACATTTAGTCCATCGATTAATCCGGAAAATCTTAGATGTGAACCTACATCTTAAAAAATTGTCAACCAAAGTCAACTTTGTTCATTTGATACCCGACATGAAGGACAAATATGACAAATATTGAGGCGACTATGCAAAGGTGAGTGATTATGTTTACTTTGCGATCTTGCTAGATCCTACAATGAAGTCTCAATTATTGTTGTATACTTGTAAAGAAATGATTGGTTCCAAGGATGAAACGTTATCAAAGTCGGAGATAGAATTGAAAGCATATGAAATGCTTTATGAGGTCGAGAGGAAGATTGAGAAATTTTTTAAGACCTACTTGGAAAAATACTGCATAGGTGAATCTTCTCAACAACAAAGTTGTCAACAAGTCGTTGATTGTAATGATGATAACGACTTTTTTGACAACTTTCTTAATAGTGGAACTGACAACTTGGATGCAGTGAAAAATGAATTAATTATATATTTGAAAGAGCCCCAGGTTACGTACATTAAAAGTTTTGATATCCTAAGTTGATGGAAACTTAACGGGTTAAGATTCCCGATAGTTGCTCGAATGGCAAAATGTATTACTTTTTTTTAATATTTCATATTTCTTTTAATAGTTAATGATGTTACATCTAACAATAATTTATTTTTTAACAGATATTTTGGGGATACAAATCCCAAATGTAGTATCAGAGTCTGCCTTTAGCACAAGTTGTAGAGTTTTAACCGACTATCGTGCTAACTTGTTGGACGTGATAGTTAAAGCTTTGTTGTGTATCTATGATTGGGTTAGAAAGAGTAGAAAACCTATAATAGACAACGTGGATGATATTTTAAATGACGATGAAGTAGCTATGGGTACTTTTTACTTTCAATTCTTGTCATATTTTTATACGAACTTTACATTTTAGTAAATGCTAACAACATTTTTGTTTTGTGTTTTATATAGAGATTGAAGAAGCTTTACACAATGATAAAGCAATGAGAAAGAGACCAATGGAGAAGGAGATGATAGTCAGAAAGAATTGTTTTGGTTTAAACTTGATTGGTTGAATTGTATTAAATTTGATATGTGGGGATGAGTTTGTTTTTTGAACACTACTATGTTTTTTTGAAACTTGATTATTGAATATTATGTTTTTTTGAAACTTGATTATTGAATATTATGTTTTTTTGGAAGCCAACTTAACAACATTTAAGTATTATGAATTACATCTAAATTAGTTGCACCTAATTTTCAACCGAAAAACCTATTAGTTTCACCTAATTTTTAACCGGTTCTTGTTTGGAAATATAACCGAAAAGCCAAGACCAGAACCTGAACCGGTATTGAAACCGGCGGTCTGGTTACCGG